TGTAACTACTGTAATTGAAAAGCTGAGCTTTGTGATATACTTTGTCTGAATTTTTTTCCACCACATTTGGGAAACATAATTCTCTATTATAGGTCACAAGCACACACTTAGTTACCTTTTGATATTCCGTCTGAATGGCTCCAAACTTGTCCTTTGCCAGTTTGACAATAAGATCTGCAGCGGCATAAAGAAAACAAACACATGAAGAGAACTTTGGTGTTTTCCTGTAATAAAAAATGACATGCATGGAGGATTCTTTTATCCAGCAGATTATATCGCACTCTCATTAAATTGTATAAATTTCTAGCATCCGTGGCAACGTTTTTAAACACATCTGCCTCTGTTACGATTTAGACATTTGATATTACCTACAGGATACAACACAAAAACATAACATGTCCCAAATTAGTCCCAAATAAATACAAAAAGTGTTCCATACTCTATACTAGTCTTAATTGGGATTTTTTTTTAGAGTGGTACACACACATCTTTATAGTTCATGCTCTATATTACTGTTCAGCATAATGATTGACAGTTTGTTTATAACAGTCTTAGTATTGACACTTTACTTAGGTAGGAACTGGAGTAAACTGTAGACTCTGCACATTTTGAGAAATAATTTATGCCAGGCTGAAGAAGGAAGTTGACATTTTTGACAAGAATGTCAGGAAATCCAGAGCCTCACTGTGACACTGCAGCCTCCTCATCCCCAGCTCTTGTGCTGACAGTGTGAGGAACTTGTGTTTTATTTAGTTGTAGTCTGTCTATATGTTTGGACTCTGTATCACGATTTTGTTAATCAGCAAAACCAATAACATGTCACATTATTGATATTAAATTTGATACCAAAAATCAATCAAATTAAATGTTTTTCTCAATGAATTCTTGGCTAAAAATATGAGCGTGCAACACCCAGCTCACTTTCTATTTTACTGCGTCTTTAAATAATGAACTAATGTTAGTTATTGCTTTAGCACATGCAGCAGTGGAAATAGCAATAACAGTCAGGCTATACAAGAAT